CCCTGGAGCAGAGAAACGGCTTCCTGCCTGCTCAATCTGCCCCAAAACCAGCTCCCACGGTCCTCAGCGTCAAAGTTACCCGCCATGACTGTGAAAATCCCCACCGAGGCTTTTAAGGCCTTTTATTCCTTATTCCTTCTTTTTGCAACCAGTGCTTTTTATTCACAGAATGGATGACATGCAGTAAAATTCGTCCGCGAGCAGGATTCGAACCCGGGTCCTGCTCAGCCTATAAATCCGAAACTCATGCAAAAACTTTCATGGATTAACCAGCTTCCTCCTGGAAAAACAAGAATATACACAACACCAAAACTTCCAGGAGTAATGTATGATGTCGCTGTTAGTTGGTGGGACTTCTGCTGTATCCACAAACACGTTAAAAAGAGTCAGAAATAAAGTCAAAACTAAAGTGCAACTACAAACTCCGGGACTGAAATGGCGGATCTGGGGAAAAGTTGACCTCATCTACCGGAAGGGATGCATGGTCAATGGGAAGCGGTGCGTTCAAGCTCCCTCAAAAAACTCCGTAAATACGACTTAACGATTCTTCCACTACTTTTACATTACAACCCCTTTACAGTGCCGAGTGCTGACACTCATTATTTATTCAGTATGCCTTTCAACACGTATTCGTACTACTTACAACATAAACACATTAAATAAAATCATAAGGTATGACTCAAACAGTGCGCTATTTCAAAATTACAACTTTAATTTGCTTGGGTTAATATTAAACTTTGAAGCTGTGAATGCATATTGGAAAACTCCGTAGATACGAATGAACGAATCTGACATTCCTAAACAAATTAAGCATTTGTTTTACTTAGAGTTACAACAATATTGCACCACTATTAAAAATAAGAGGGTAACTAAAACCAAATGTCAATTTGATAAATATTCTACTACTTTATTTAAAAAATAAATCAATTTAAATCTACAGTTTTTTTAGTTTTTCCTTTTCTTTCAAATACCACATTGTTTTGAGTCATTCCTTAGGATTTAAATGTTATTAGCAGGACAAATATGGCGTGAAAATCCTACTAAATAAACAATAACTGTAAGGACTGTTCAATACTCTAAACCAGCGGTTCCCAACCTGTAGGCCGCGGCCCGAAGGCATTGCAAGTGGGCCGCCACTTTTTTTTTTGGTACAGGCTAAAGACACAAACATGGACATAACAATAACATATAGGAGATGACATTCCCATCTCAGACAACAGCAAAACTAAATCAGGAGAAATAAAGATACAGTCAGGAGGATCACTTCAACATTTCACAAACAAAAATAGATTGACAACCAAAAACCACCAAAAACACAACATGGCATATGTATTGCTCCTTTAATCCCACTCTTCGTTAGAGGTCCTTATTTTCCATTTCATTGGTGTGGATGAGGCTTCAGAATTTTGTTTGTGGCAATAATTTTTTCCAAAATAAATTGTATTTTGAATCTACTCTTCAAACACCTTAAATTAAGATTACCCCTTGATTGAGTTTAAAACTATATATTTTAGCCAGAAGAAGAGTTGTATTTATTAACTGTGTGCGGTCTTCTAGAAGCCCAAATAAAATATTAAAGGGTGTAAATGTAAATTCAATATTTGCCGCCAAATTATTTGCAAAACATTATGATTTGTGTGGAAACATTTTCATTATTAAGATTTTTTTTCCTCCGTATTGTTTATGGTTGAATGTGGGCCGCAAACCTTTTTTGTGGGCCCTGAGTTGAAAAAGGTTAGGAACCGCTGCTCTAAGCCGTTTATGTCCTGCTTATAACATTTAAATCCTAAGGAATGACTCAAAACAATGTGGTATTTTGAAGTTACCACTTTAATTTACCACCTGATTAATAATATTCTCTTAAGCCTAAACATTCACAGACATTGCATTTTGTGAGTACAAGCTAAATTATTGTCTTAACCTGTTAAGCCCCAAGGTCCCCGTTTTTTTCTTTCTGTGTCTCAGGGGATCTTAATATTTAAGAACCTATTAATGTGTTATACCAGATTAACGGAAATAATCTCAGCTAACTGACGATATAAACCATTTTTACCAAAACAAAACACAAGTCTCATAAGAAGCATCTAAATGACCCCTTAGCAAAAAATGCTAACGGACATTGGCACAGAACTCAAGATAAAAGTACCCTTATTACTTTTATCTTGAGTTCTGTGCCAATGTCCGTTAGCATTTTTTGCTAAGGGGTCATTTAGATGCTTCTTATGAGACTTGTGTTTTGTTTTNAACAATACGGAGGAAAAAAAATCTTAATAATGAAAATGTTTCCACACAAATCATAATGTTTTGCAAATAATTTGGCGGCAAATATTGAATTTACATTTACACCCTTTAATATTTTATTT